GCTGGTGAACAATTTTTCAAATATTTTTTTGATTCTGAGGGTACCTGTTCCAATAAGGATACCTGTATTAAAGTGGGGAGTTATTACTCATGATTATATCATATTATCTTATCAGTTTAATGATGATAGGTTTCACTATATCTGGATAGGTGTGGTGTTGTACTCTGTTGAATGGAGTTGAAGGGATATTATATATTTTACATAAAAAGTAGTTAAAAACTCAATTGTGGTGTGCAACACATACAGTAATTATACGAGACATATTTTTTTCATATTTTTATGTTATACTATTCTGTGTTAATTTCTACCACATTATGTTTGGTTGCTTATAGCAAAAACTGTTAAATTATACGAATTTAAATATTAATTTTATATTTTTTTCAGTAGTGAAGTGAAATGGCAACATTTTCTTATCTTTTTTTCTTTATTATATTAAGTAAGTATTATAAAGCTCAAAAGTATATCCTTTGCAAGCTATTATTATAATTTTTTTTATATTTTTTAGCTGTGCATGCACAAGAAAATGCACACAAAAATCTTCTACCCTCTCTTCGAGAGTGCTATGAGAACAAATATCTTTTAGAAAGAGATAACAGATTACCACACACCTTGGATACATTCATTGCTATACTTCGTAAAATTGAAAATGCAGAAGGTCTTAATATGGATCTGAGAAGTTTGTCTGTTGCACTTTTACATCGGTAAGTCTGATATATTTTAGAAAAGCAGAAGTAATCTTATTGAAATTTAATTAATATCTGATTTATAGTTTTCGACAAGATGGTATTGCACCAAATCCTACAATTCCTATTCAAGATGGAGTAACACCTTATGCACCAAATACCTTCCAATTTTTCCGTTATTCCCAAACACTACGTCTTATACCTGGAAATGCTATTCTGTTTCCCAACAATAGTATCACAGCTGTTGAAAGAGTATGTATATTATTTAAAATCTTTTCCATATTTATATATGTTTGTCTAATAATTAATTATTGAATTACAGTGTACACTGCACTTCATGTTATCGAGCAGTGTCGAAATTTTTCAAAGAGAAAATGAGGCAAATGTTTGCAGATTTGCCAGCTCATATAGATATCCAAGAAATGTTAAGAACAATAAAGAAGGGACCACTGAAACTACTATTAATGATGTAGAAACTTTGTCATCTGATGAAATGTAAGTAACATAAGTCTTGAATCAAATGATATAAAAAATAAAACAATTTTTTATACAGAAGAAGCATGACTCACCATAAAAAGAAGGGTCATCCTACAGTAGATCCAAATTCGTTGTACCCAGAATTACCACCTAATCATCCAGACATTGCACGATTTTCTGCATTACCACCTAAAAGCAAATGCCCTGTAGAAAATGGTGTTGTAAAAACTCTGTAAGTCTGCAATATATTAAAAAATTATAAGATTGAATAATTATGTAAGTTGAACTTAACTAGCCATTTAATTATACATTTTTTAGATGGGGTGCAGTTTCTATTGGTTCAGTACTTGCTGGAATAGCTGCAGCTACACAACCAGAAACAACTATGCTTTATGATTTACAGCCAGATGTATTGCAAAAGAATAATACACAATTAACAAGTGTAGCTTTAAACAACAAATGGATTGCTACTCTGGCTGGTAATATTATTAATTTTATGATATGATAAATTACTTTTTAAAATATTAAATTTTTTATTGTGAAAATTATAGGAGACTTAGCAGAGGTAGCTTTAAGACAAGGCCCTACAGGAGACAAGCTTAGCGTCGGAGTAACTGGTAATTGGAATTCCACTGCTTTGCCACGGTGGTATTTCTTAAGTTCCAATAACAAATTTGAAATGACAACAGCAGAAATCAGAGGAGATTTAGACGGTTTAATTTTGGCTAACGAAATTAACAAAAGATATTCTAATTTGCCAAGCTTGAGACTTTCGCAAATTTTTGATATGTATTATAGTTCATTGGGATTCTTTGATGCTTCAATTAGAGCGTGCGATAGGAGAACATTGTTTACATCAATTGCTCCTAATGAAACAATGGCTGCACAGGTAAATTATTTGAATAGCATAAAACAATTTGTTCATTGGTTTATGCAAATAAAAAATTTCTTATATTGTATATACATTTTTTGTAGACATACAGTGCAGCTTTATTATTGGATCCTGATATAGCACACGCAACACTTGAACCTGGGATAATAGAGAAATTTTCAGTGCAAGCAGTAAACGAATTAGCATCATATGTGCGTAAGTATTAGTGTTACCATACATGTATTTTTAAAAGTAAAGATTTATTTGCTTTAATATCTTTACAGCTTCAGCCATGAACAAGGATCTTTCGTGCACAGACACAGATAGATTGAATAATTTCAACCAAATTTCTGTCGATTTGACAATCATTTTGGATACGAACTGGGAATTCTCAGCTATAAAATCTATTCTAGCAACTTTATTGGAGAACATCGACGTGAATCAATATAATTCCAATTTCACGTTGATAAATGGTTATGATGGAAGTGTAATGATTAACAGTACATTCAACATTTTGGAATTTCAAGCTTACAATTTATCCCATTATGCAAACAGTACGTATTAAGATAGAGATTAACGATAAATGATAACTTACAAAATACTTTATTGTATGTTTCTTTCAGTTACTCATGGTTTTAATTTATCTAAGTCGCTGAAGGAATTAGAAGTGTACTTGATGAATAAATTGGACAATGAACGTATTGTTGGTGTTGGTGTTGCACGATCTAACGTTGTTTTAATTA